AAACTTCTTGGCGTGTTTTTTTGTGGGTGTATCCTGCAACACGCCACTGACACAATAACAGTGCGTTAGTGGAGGATTTCTACTGATGCATCCACAGATCACCATTCTGCTTTATTAGTTGTTCTGCGATGCTTCCCCAATGTTACTGCATTATGCTTGTCTGGAAGGGGCCCTCTCGCACTGCAGCGTAACAAAAGCGGGGCAACACACAGACACACACACGGGAACACACGGCAGCATAAAAAGGTACAGGATTTCAGCAGGAAGCTATGGGACATGCGCCAATTCGAAACGAAGCATGAGGTCCGCCGCCAAACTTTTGCAGGCACAAAGAGTACTGAAAGCGGGATCATGTGTAACCAGCCTGATATCATCATGAGCAAAGGACTTCTAGAGGAGCCCAGAGAGAGATAGAGAAGCCTATTCCTTCTGCAGCCTCCCTTTCGTTTGCGGCCACCTTCTCAATGGATTCCCAAAGCTTTAAAAGAGCCTTTTGGTTTGGGAGGCAGCTGACGGCAACTGGTGCCAAATGCCTGGAGAAAGCAACCCTAAGATGCCTCTTTGATCCTTTGTCCTGCCAGGGAATGAGACTGTTTTCTCTTCTCCTTCCTCTCTCATTGTGCTTTTTAATTCAAGGTCTCCAAGGCCTGGGGTGAGAGAGACAGAGTGGGAAGAGGAGGAGGAGGGAGAGATGACACAAACGTTTAAGCTTTCACAAGAGTCTCATTCCGCAAGGGTTGGCAAGAGAGGGAGCAATGCCCAATTCCAGGAAAGCAACAGGCGCCTCTACTGTCCTCCATCCATCAAGGGCTGTCATTGTTTTGACCCTTTTTGTCCAGTTTCTTGTCCCCTGGCTTCCACTCAAGTGCCATTCTCTGGCTTCTGACGCACGAGCTTGCAAGTTTTGCAAAGGTGGCGAGTGAGGGTGGAGGCCTTCTTGACTGGGCTTCTGTACAGCACCAGCACCACTGTGATCTACATAATGAAATAACCCAAACAACAAAAGAACCAGGGAAGGAAGTCTTGTTGGGTTGGCAGCGGGAATTGTGGAATTAAAGCCTGGAGTTCTTCAGCTTCATCTCACGGCCAAAAGCCTCAACCAAACACCCAATCTGAAAGGCCTGACCAACGTTGAGCTTCTCTGTTGGCTTCAGAATCTCTTAGATCTAAATTCTTGATTGGCTGCTCACCCTCTGTAAAGTCTTCCATGCCAGATCAGACCTAGCCCTGACGATTCAGTTGCTCTCCACACCCATCAAACCAGGGTTTCCTTATTTCAGTATGATGTTTTGAGGCATTGTGATAGGGGTATGGCTTCCTAATCCTTATGTGAACCTCAGATGTAGCAGGCTGGGCAAATGCAATTAGGACTCCAGAATGCAGCCTGAGTAAATTTAAACCACACAGCAAACCAATTTATTTTTTTTTAAAAAAGACACTTATTTTCCACTCTAACACACTTACACCAGTCTCCCATTAGCCAAGCCTGCTCAGCTTCAGCAGCATCACAGCATCATATTTTCCCAGACTATTCACTGGGTAATAGGAAACTTAAGAGAAAAAAATCAGGGCCAACAATCTACCTGATATGGAACTATGGTTGGTTGAGGGTTTGGGGGGGGCGGGGTTCCACTATTGATGGCATCTGGGACTAGCAGAATGCACTGCCACACAAGATTCACTTATTTTAAGCGAGTTATTTCAGGGAATAAATGGTAGTAGCACGCTCAGGCCAACACAGGTCACTTCAGGTTGTGGCTGTGTTGAGGATCATGGAAGAACGTGTTTAGAAGATAAAAGCAAAACCCACAAGAAACTATATGCTACCTCCAGAAACAGAGGCCACAACATGCCTGGGAATACCACTCACTGGAGAACTACAGTGGGAGAGGGCTTTCGCCTTCATGGCCTGCTTGAGGGCATCCTGTTGGCATCTGCTTGACTATTATGGGAAGCAGGATACTAAACTAGATAGGTTGTTGGTCTGAACCAGCAGGGCTCTTCGTATGTACATTTTGGACCTGCTGAACACCACACCCCCAAGAGAAGCAATTTTTAAGTATCACCATCCAACTCACTAGGTTTCTCCAACTAATGCTGAATCTTCCCTTGCTATGACATTCTGAGAGAGAGAGAGAGAGAGAGAGAGAGAGAGAGAGAGAGAGAAGAAAATAGATTGAAAAACAATAAGAGTGACTATGTTGAATCTGGAGAAGGATGAGAGAAAATTGTTCCAAGCAAGGTGAACCGCAAAGAAATAAACTGCAGCAGCGGTGTAACGAAAAGAGCACCCGTGAGAAAACAAAAATTAGCCAGGATAATCTTTCACAAAACATGCCTTTGTTCATTTGTTTTAATGATTGTCATTTACGTTGAATTATTTACATGGCATTTATCTATGCAACCGCTTTCTGGTCCCTGTTAAACATAAGAGTATTGTGCACTCAGCAGCAGCATCACAAAAACTCAAGCGTTTGGGAACAGAGGCAAATAGGTCTGGGATGCCACTCGCCTTGGACCCAAGACACTGGGTCAGTAGCACCTGCTACTCAAAGCAAGAGCACCTGAAGACAAACAGATAAGGCAAGTGAGAGGGGAAGACAAGAGTGCTACACAGCTTCCCTGCTCCTATTTGAAAGTCACCACTTGAATGGGAGAAGCACGACAAAGGCTAAGGCTGTGTACACACTTTTCTTTTAATGCACATTCAAAGCACATTTATTCCTTCATCAGGGCACTAGGGTAAACTACGGTGCCCCAAATTCTTTGAGAAGAAAAACATGCTTCAAAGATATAGCATGTACATAGCCATGGAGTTAAGGAATACAATGCCTCCTGGGAGAAACTGAATGCCGTTATCAGCCATGATGAAGTCCGAGGTGTATCACTCAACCATTTCCTCCCGATGGTACAAATCCTACCTGTATGCCTGGCAAGCTGCATTACTAGAAGTGTCAAATCAGGACTGCATTGGAACTAGGCCCCTTTGGATGAGGGCAATGGAGACACACTGCCCTGTATGTCTTTGGGACAATACTCTATTTGCTGGTGCAGGCAGCAAGTGAGCATGTTTAGTAGGAAACAGGAAGTATTGAAGTCTCTGCCTTTTCAAGGATCTGACTAGCTAGGCCAGCTAGTATGCATCCTATTGGTTGTTGGGACTACAGTGGTACCTTGGGTTGCAAACTTAATTCGTTCTGGAGGTCTGTTCTTAACCTGAAACTGTTCTTAACCTGAGGCGCACTACTGCCGGCACACCACCGGCGACTGATTTCCATTCTCATCCTGGGGCAAAGTTAGTAACCCGAGGTACTACTTCTGGGTTTGCAGAGTTTGTAATCCAAAGCGTTTGTAACCCGAAGCGTTTGTAACCCGAGATACCACTGTATATAAAGGCAGCTGCAGGAAAGAGGAAATTATCAATGCAAAGTGATGGCTGTTTTGTCATGTATAATAGGATTAGAAACCAAGCAAATAAACACCATGTAATCTAGATTTCTAAATCTGAAAATCCAGGACCATTTGAGCCACAAAATATGCCAAGGCTGAGCCATAAAACATGTAACAACCAAACTACATGGTACATTAAATATGTAGCATGAAGCTGCATCTCTCTTTGTTGATCTAATCCTGCAGCGCACAGGGAGGGGAAGTTTAACCCCCCATTTCCCAAACCGTAATCCCTACAATACCACCTAGCTCACCTGGGCTGCAGTTAGACACAAGGGGGGAAAGCCAAAGGGAGCTTCCTACTTCTTGGCTAATTGCAGCATAGGGTGAGGGGAGGACTGGCTATCTTCATTGGGGTTGTGGTCTGGGAGGGAAGGGTTAAATTTCCCCTTCCTGCGCACCATGGTTCTGATGAAAATCACATACACACAATTTAGGATTAATGTTGTTTGGCGTTTTCTTTTCTTTCCTTTTTTTAAAAAAATGCAGATATAATTGCATGCCACACATTTAATAAAAAGTCTCATTTATCCCAAGCAACTGCAATAATCACCATGCATCTAAGCACAGAGAGGCAGTCCACGTTGGCTTCAGACCTGTTAAATCTCATTTTTTTAAAAAAGTACAGTATGCAGATTAAAACCACTTGGAACATGAGCCCATTGCTCAGCTCAACAACAATGAAACACCAGAGAAGTGCCTCTGAACATACAGAGTGTGTGTCACTCGCTACTGGATAACCACAAGCCCAAGCATACATCCTGGAACTGAGGGGCAGTGTTTTCAGGTCTGAAATTGCCAATGGTGTAAGCAGTGTGGGGTGAGAGGGATTCTTTTGCATGTGTCTTGCAGCCCCACTTATCCTCCTTTAACTCATATCGCACCACCTGCTTCTTTAAAAGTAACTGATACGATGTTATGCCAGCGATTGCAAAACTCACTTTTCCCGTAGACCACTTGAAAATTGGAGAACTGCTTCATCATGTTTTCTGCCTGTTGAAGCAAGTGCGATGCTAGATGCTGTGCGACTGTGTTTTTATTGCTTCTTTTGTTTCTTATATTTTATTTTACTGTGTTGTGATTTGAATGCCATATAATTCAAACTGTAACACAAGATAAGAAATAAAAGAAACTACAAAAACTCAATTAAAAATCAATGTGGCTATTTAATGCAGACATTCCGTGGACCACCTGCATGAAGCTTGTGGACCACCTGTGGTCCACAGGCCACAGTCTGGGAACAGGTTTTATATACAGAAAATAACAGTATGTGTGAGCACATATAGTGTGCCTTCTACTCAGCACTGAGTAGCTGCAGTCTGTGATTTCTTCCCAACATCCCTCAAGTGATGAACTAGGGCTTCCTTCTACATCAGGTGGCCTGATTCACATATTGACCACAGCCTGAGAACTTCCTGGTGGCACTCTGAGGGTACAATCCCAAAATGTTTTGAAATGTGTATTATTAATTATATTTGCATCCTGCCTTTCTTCCAAAGAATTCAGGGCAGCATAATGATGTCCCTTCTTTCACTTCATTCGTACACCTCTGTCAAGGTTGAGTGGGGATTTGAACCCAGGTCTCCCCAGTCTTAGACCGACACTCTAACCACTAAACCACAATGGCTCTAAGTTCCCCATCCAGCACCATTGCTACTATCCGGCAGTCCATGCTTGATTATACCTGCGCACTTGCTTCACTTGGGGTTGAATCTTGCAAGGAGTCTTGAGTTCAGACACCACCTCCTGCCTTACAACAGTGATACTGAACAGGCAGAGGATCATGCATATAGGAAGGGAGAGCTGAAAGAAATAGGTGGTGCATCATATTCTCTTCTAAAACTAAGGTCCGATGGTTCAGTAGGGAAAATTGGTAGGAGACCTGCAAGGCAGTATCAAGAAGCAACCGGGAGGTTGTCAGATTTTTTCCTCCTTTGCAAAGAGGGAAGAAGGGAGAGATTCTCAATAGCGTTGTCCTTGAGTGTCCTTTACCAGCTTTTTACACGCAGTGCAGTGGATGAGAAAGGATTGAAAAATCCCCAAATGCTCTTTTTGTTGATTTCACTTCTTCATCCCTCCCCACACCCTCTCTCATTCCTGTGTGCTAACTAAAGCAAGAAAGGGAGGAGGAAACATTCAGAAAAGGGAATGCAAAAGTAGGAAGGCGGGGGTGGCTAATTTCATTCACTTTATCAAAGACTTTTAAAGCAAGCTAGTTAAAAATAGAAGGTAAGGAAGGAACTGGGGTGTTGTTAGAGAGTAAAGTATGAAGCCCAAATTCAGGGTCTTTTGCCCAGGATCTCCAGCCCCAAATCACCCCTTTAAACATTTTTTTTTCTTTCCTTTGCTTACAGGGTGTCTGAGTGTGCTGCAAAATGCCGTGCGGCTGAGACCTCATCTACCTGTCATATGAATTCGCTTGAAGAGAAAGCATGCATAACACCCTATATAATGTATGAACAGGATTGTAGCTTAAGTTGCATTTTGTATTAATGATGATCATGTTGTGTGAGCTGCCTTGGGCACCTCGTGTTGAGGCAAAAACGCAAGACAGAGAAATGTTTTAAATAAATAAATCAGCCACTCGTATACCCAGCATGGATAAATTGCATCCAATTTGCTCAAAATGCACAAGGATTGGGGCTTTTGCATTTCAGAAACTTTGTCTGAGATCTCAGACAGTGTTTCTTGATTGGGAAGGTTTTTGCTTTGCCTTTCTCTCCTTTCCTTTTTACACAGAAAATGCCTCTCTACTCGGCCAAAGATTTCAATTTCTTAAGCAATGAGAGCAAAACCCTTCTCAGCACTTTGCTCATGTTTGTCCTGGTTTTGCAGGAGTGGCACCAGAAGGAAGTATGTATTAGCCCAGTGTGATGGTGCAGGGGGAGAGCCTGTCTTGCAGACCTTCATGGGGGAGGCACACACATCCACTGAAAAACAAAATCTGGAGAAAGAAATGGCAATACGTAGCTGAAGAAGAAGAGTTGGTAACCTTGCTCCTATTCATCATTATATTATCTGATATTTATTGTGGTGGAAAGACTTAACCTGAGAATAATGTGCAAAAACAAAAAGGAATGCCAAAAATTGATTAGAAATTGATGAGGGGAGGGATTATGTCCCATGGCATCTATGATGCCCTCTATATTACCTGTGTATAACAACTGCACTGCAATGGCACCCACAGCAAGAGCAATGGCAACGGAGAAGCAAGAGAACTGCATTGAACCAGGGAAATCAAACTGCAGGAGGATATATGTTCACAAACAGGGTAGGCCCAATATGATTCAGTCCCTGAGGCAAAAACCTGAAATGGCACTAGGCATTTTAACTGGCATGGGCTGCAGTCGACAGAAAGTTGCCCTGTGGAAGTCCCATTGCATGGGGTTTGCGCAGCTCCCATGTAGCTGAATGGAGCTTGTAATGGAGAATGTCACACAGATCTGAATCCTTCTCCATCTCCAGTGCCGTCCCTACCATTAGGCACAGCAAACAAGCTGCCCAAGGCAGCCAATTTTAGAGGTGTCATGAAACGACAGAAAGTTTCTAGTTACTACATTTATTTTCATTTTATTTTTACCAGCAGGATGGATATTCAAATAATTTGCCCAGCTTTGTTGGGTAGTAGACATCATGACTTAGGGGCAGGTGTGGCTGCCATTTGCTATTCTGCCTTAGCAATAATAATAATAATAATAATAATTTATTTTAAACCCGCCCATCTGGCCGAGTTTCCCCAGTCACTCTGGGAGGCTCCCAATCGAATATTAAAAACAATACAACATTAAATATTAAAACTTCCCTAAACAGGGCTGCCATCAGATGTCTTTAAAAGTAGGATAGTTGCTTATTTCCTTTACATCTGATGGGAGGGCGTTCCACAGGGCGGGTGCCACTACCAAGAAGGCCCTCTGTCTAGTTCCCTGTAACCTCACTTCTTGCAATGAGGGAATCGCCAGAAGGCCCTCAGCGCTGGATCTCAGTGTCCGGGCTGAACAATGGGGGTGGAGACGCTCCTTCAGGTATACAGGACCGAGGCCATTTAGAGCTTTAAAGGTCAGCACCAACACTTTGAATTGTGCTCGGAAACGTACTGGGAGCAATATTAGGCTGTTGTCCCTTTGCCTTTCGTCTGACTGCTGCTCTTCTCTTTGCCCCTTATCTGCAGCCTGAACTGGTACCACCAGGAGGGGGGGAAATCTTTATCATCTCAATCTGCTGAGCATCAGGGCTAAGTGGCCCCTAGTGGGCTCAGGGGAAGGGGAAAAGGCACATCTTGTCCACAAATTCCGCAACCGTTCCTACCCCTCTGCCATACTTCCTAGTACAGACCTCAGGAAAGGCCCTCAACGACGCCTTTCAGCCGGCAGACACCAGTCCACTTGGCCTGCGCAATGTCTTTTTAATGAGCCATATAATGAATGCTCTTCAAATTATGTTGGAATCATTAATTTTTCCAAAATGAGACAGATTCCCCCTCAAATCCTGAGGCGATGCCAAGGCGACTTGTTGTGCTCCTAAGCGCTCTCTCTCTCTCTCTCTCTCTCCCTCCCTCCCTCCCTCCCTCTCCTGTTCTCTGTTTTTATGACTGTGTTGGGGCTCTTTGGTATAGCCCAGTGCTGCCGTTGGCCTTTTCACACTCACACAAATGAGCCGGCATGAACTCATCCCTCTCTCTCGTCTCTTCTTCTTCTTTCCCCTTCTTTCCTCCCTCATTTCAAAGGGGGGGGGGCAATCAGGAAAGCAAAGCCCGGAAGCATGAAAGGAAAGGATTCTTAACCGAACGGGTCAGCAGCAATGACAGGCCTCAAATGGATGAGTGCGGGTGGAGGATGGAGGTGAATACAGATATCCAAAGGCGCCAGAAGCCAGGAGGAGTAAACAGCGGGAGAGATGCAAGTGCCAAAGACAGAGTCAAGGAAGAAAACATCCCCAGAGCTCTCCCCAACTTGATTACGATGGCTTCTGGGGCATGCCAAGCACTGGGTAGCCCATGCTAGTAAGGACCACCACCTTATTCCATTATTTAGTAAGCCCAGCTCTCTTTAATTAAAAAAAAAAAATCACAGCGGCAAGCGACTCAACATGGACTCATTAGCGCAGCACAAAGTCAAAACAATACAGGTGAACAAAGTAAACCAGCAGCATGTTGTCAGGCCAAGGCCACAACGGCAAGCCTTTACGTGGGAAGAAGTCCCATTAAACTCAGCGGGACTTCGCTCTCAAGTAAACATGGCTGCTGCACACCACTAGAAGCTTGCCTAAGCAAACAAGCTGTTCCTCCTGTCTCTGAAATGTGGCTTGTGCTGAACTTTCTCTGGGGAAGAAATCCCCATCAAACTCAGGTCACTTCCAGACATCGTATTCATTGAACGTTCCTTCTAAATTATTTTCAGGGAGTGGGACAATTAGCTAATTTTATTTGTTGTTGTTTAGTCGTTTAGTCGTGTCCGGCTCTTCGTGACCCCATGAACCAGAGCACGCCAGGCACTTCTGTCTTCCACTGCCTCCTGTACTTAATGGGTCTCTCCCCCCACCACCACCATCTTTAGATGGCAAGCCAGTCCTTGTGCATTTGGGGGCCCTCCTATTCACTCGGTTGAACTGGGTCTGAGACTTCTGCCCCAAAGTCCTGCCTGATGGTGCCATTGTCTTCCAAACTCTCCTCACCTTCCCATGCTCACACAGCTACCTGTTTCTATTTCCCCGAGTTCTGACCTTGGTCTGCCCCATCTACCTGCTATTCTTGATTCAGTCCATGGGTGTCCACAGGGCACAGCTACTGTCCCACCTCTGAGGAGTCACAATCCCCACATCCCCACCTTTTAATTTTTTTTAGTAAATTTCTAGCATTTGTGGCGTATGAGATATAAGGCAAAATGTATGGGCACTATCCTTCTCATTTTTTTGTGAGACGTTAGCCGGCTCCCCTCCTCTTTTCAGCGTTTTACTCCCCACCCAACCTGGGGGGAAATCCTGCAGATGACCATGGACAACCTGTGGGACAATCTACAGCCATCCTTTTCATACCCCTCAATATCTCCTGGAAGATAGCTGGTACGCATGCAGAGTTGAGATGGGCAGGCCATGAGTGATCAAAGCAAGCCATGGGGAGAAGCCAGCACTGGGAGCTGCTTGCCTCCCATACGACAGGTGGCAGGCGGTGGAGAGCAGCAGAGGCAGTTGGCCAGCTCATGTCAGCGCATGTCTTGCAGCCGTGTCTGGTTCAAGCAACGCCAAAAGCTGTCGCACAAGCCCACACCCTAGCCACAAGGCTCACCCTGCCCCCTCGCTTCGTACCTAGCAAGTAATGTGTGCAGGCCCATCGCTGCACCACAGCAGCCTTGACGACGGGATGTCACAGGAGATGGGAGAGGACTATTCTCATGGTTGGACATTTGTTTTTAGAAGATGAACAACAACAGCCCATTCACCAGGTACAGGATTTGCAAGGCACAGGTATCAGAAAACATTCATTTGGAAGTGTCAGGGAACTGCCATCGGAAGGAAGGGAGGTGAAAGGACTCAGACAGGTTGGAAGAGACTCAGCAGCGGAAGAGGGAACCAGCAAGGGGAGAGAAGCTGAACTGAGGGAGGTGAAAGGGCTCAGACAGGTTGGAAGAGACT